CCGTTGCTCCTTATCTTTTGGAAGTCTTATAGTGAAGTTCATTTTTCCATTTGGAGCTTCATGGTCTGTTCATGTGGCTCATTTTTCTATATTGGTTAATAAAAAATAGTAATCAATTCAATTGAAATTGCCATGTTTTTTGTGAAGATTGGCAAGTTGTCATAAAGTTAAACTCTCTATTGTTGCTAATCTCTACATTTTTGATACCTGGAAACTGCTTGAAACTGCTTGAAACTCTTGAAATCCATCTTGAATCTTTCTTGAGATTGCTTTGTACTTGTTCTTGAAACTGAAATCCAAAGGAAATGGATAATGATTATTGAAATCCTCATTATCTTGATACTTGTCTGAAATTAATTCTTACACTGTTCTTGGAATCTTATTTTGAACCTTGCCTGGAGTAAAGTCATGTTAGTATCCTTTTTCTTGAAAATCAATTGATATTTGGAATCTATTTTGAATTGTCCTTGAAAACCATTCTTGTCCTGACCCTTGCTCTTGTTCAAATTCTATATACTGCTCTTGCTCAAATCTTGCATATTCTGCTAGTTCTTGTTTTAGTATACTTGTCAATCTTCTTGATTTTGATTTTGTTCATATGGACACTTCTTTAGGAGGGGTGATGATTATTAGAAGATACCTATATAAGGTATCCTAAATTCCTGTCTCTTGCAAGTGTTAATCTCTGTATTCTTGATGTCTTAACTTTGACTTGACTCTAGGATGTCTAGGATGACTTGATTGTAAATCTGCTTAGCCTCCATGGGCTACGAGGTGAAGGGGTAGTCTTTGAAGTACCTGATGCCCTAGAGTTTTGTTCCAAGAGAAATGGTTCTTTTATCTGGCTGCTTTGATTTTTGTTTGCCCTTTTAATTAGAAAACAGTAATCTTCTAAGTATCCTGATCCCCACTATTGATTATTTTGTTAGTTAATTCGTGTTACTTGGGGGTGCTAAATCTTGACATCCTGGTTATATCTGCTCTTGAATCCATGTTCTGGTTGTCATTATTGAAATCTCTTTTGTGGGTCTAATCCTTGAATTTTATTGCTTGTTTCATGGTTAACTCTTGTCTCTCAATTTTGACTGCTTTGTTAAATTTGATCTTGATTCTTGGTGAATGCCATTTTGTTGCTGATTTTTTTGAGGCATTCTACCTTGCACTCTTATGTTCCAGTATTCTTCCAAGCATTCATATTTTCCACTGATTTCATTCTGATGCTATTCTGGAAATTTCACATGTCATTTGATGGGTCTAGCTTTTAACTCTTGTTAATTGCTAAAATCTATCTCTTGATTCGAGTTGTTTTGTTAAACATGATCTTACTTATTGGTTAACCTTGTTGTGGCAAAATTTATAAGGCATCCATGCACTTGTTCATTCATTCATGATTCATATATCCATTGGATGCTTATCTGTCTTTGATAGAGTTCAAAATTTTGTTGTGCTCATCTTTAAATCCATGCCATTCTTTGCTAACTCGTCTTATGTTGGGTTCATAGCGTAACCCAACAACTGTTCTTTTGTAGCCTTGGCAGGATTTATTTTTATTTCTTTTTATTCCTTGTGCTTCTCATATCACCCCAGCTTCCAGTAGCTAGTTTCATGGTAAATCTTGTTAAGTAGTTAATGTTCTGCTTTTATGATTAGTTGGGGTTTGATATCAGAGTGGCGCAGTGAAAGCGTAGTAGGCTATGTTCTGTTCATAAAGAGTTGGTGAAGCAATTGTTTTGTCTCGGATTATATGAAGCCATTCACCACTCGAAATGATCCTCAATTTGAGTTTTGAGGACAAAACTCCTTTTTAGGAGGGGTGAATGTAATATCCCAAATTTTTGGGAATTTTATCATTTAAGTTAGGGACTTGATTGTGAGAAAATATTATTTTGGGGCGTGACAGAAAAAGAGGGTTTAGTTTCAATTCGATTAATGTAAGTACTACCCTTCTGCATCCTTCTTCTTGGATTTGTGTTTGTTTACCGAGCAAACTGCGCAGAGATAAAGAAAAGAAAAAGTGGGTTTGTGTTCAATTTGATAAATGTATTGCAGTTTGATGAAAATTCCCTTCCTTGACTCTGTATTTCGTAGGGGAAAACAGGGTTGTGTCCAATTTAATAAAGACAAGAAAAGATTGTAGTGATTCTGCGTTTGTTTCTTGATTTTGCGTTTGAAAAAAGATTGTATTGGTCGAAATGCCTGCAAATTAAGACTCAATTTCTGTTGGGGTTTAATCTTGGCAGAGACAGACTCCACTGTGCAAAAAGAAGAGAGAGTGACTCCCGGCGTTTCGTTCTGTTTCTTTTCTGTTACTACCACAATCGGAGACATGACAGAAGAAAACTTGCCAAGAATCAGAGACGTTCCCGTGGAAAACAGGGGTGATGCCTTCTTGAATAAGCTGCGCCGCTGTTTGGAAATTGTGGATTTCAGGCGCTTCATAGAGCACTTCAAGGCCAAGCAATCCCTTTCCGATGTCAGACAGAGCGGAGTTGCCTCTGCAGAAATACTTGATATGATCGAAACAATATTTGAAATGGATGATACACTTAAAGAGTTGAGCGATTATGTTCCTACTCTTGAATCTCTTCCGGAAGATGCAGTCTGCATAATCAGGAAAATTCTCCGTACAAACATTTTCAGGCCATTTCCCTCTCCCACAGCTGTTGTTTCTGAAGAAGAGAATGAAAGTAGCATCGAGCTCTATGGTCCTGGGGACAAAAGGCCACTGGTTGAAGGGTCCTGGATCCATCTGCAATGCATTTATGAATTCTTCCAAAAAATTGTTGATGCTGGGTTGCTGCGTGATGACCATATTGACGATTCGTTTATTACTTGGTTTTTTAATACTGCAGTGGAAGCAGATGATTCCAGAGAAGCCTGTTTTGTGGCAGATCTTTTGCCATCTTTCTGGGCAAAATTCCCTCAGAAACAGCTAGCAATTTGGAGAACCGTGCGTAGCAATCTGTCTCGTTTTGTCTGCCCCGATAGGCAGAGCTATATACCAAGTGCGGTAAGCAGTCTGTTGTGGTTTGTTAGTGATCGGATTCCTGAGTGGTCGGTGCCACTGCAAGAAGAGCACACGCACTTTCTCCGGCTGGTTTTGATACCCATGCACAAGATCAAGTCTTACCCTTACTTTTCTCACTGGTTACAAATGTGTTTGGTAAGGTTCATGGAGAAAGATAGTTCTCTGGTCAATTTGATTTTTGAGGGTATTTTGAGTGGTGATCCAACACCCTCCACTTCTGAGTTGTGTCTCTTGGATGAACTCATATACCTGATGAAGTTTAGTACCATTAAAGAAATTGACCAACCCAATGCTCAGCTTCTGTTTAGACGCACTGCAAATGGCTTAGGAGGTTATGAAGTGAAAGTGGCTAAAAAAGCACTTGATATAGCTTCCTTCAATAGATTTCTTGAACTTGCTAAGTTGCACAAGGAGGCTTCAATTCCTGTCATGATATTGGCGCTGCAAAATGCAGTAAACTACAGCAGGAACAGTTCTGTTCCAATTATTGCAAAGCACATTCTCAAAAAGTTATATGATGTTGAGAAGGATGTGTCCTGGAAGTTAGAGGATGAAGAGAAGAAGACCAAGAGAACAAGAATATGATGACACAAACTTCTTTTTTGATAGGCAAAGAGTTCAACGGATGGTAACAGAGTGAAATGTGGGGTTTATGTTACTTTTCCTTAGACTCAAGACAGCATGACAAATGTAATTGCAAGTGCGCCTCACTCTAACATCAACCACACTTATATTTGTCCTATCAGTTTATTTCATTATTTTTCAAGGATAATTATGTTTTTTTAAAAAAAAATTATGATAAATTTTAATAATTTTTATTAAAGAGATAAATGATTTAAATGGTGTAGATATAAAAATTACAATACATATATGTTGATTTTAATTACATATATAAGTAATGTATATTAATCCCAACCTTACAAAAATTACAATTCTCTATTAAAATCAGAGTCCTTTATAACAAATTACTCAACTTAATAAACTGAACTAAAGCCAAAGTAATTTAAAAGCCACTCTGCCGGTTGGAAAAACCACAGTGTACCAAACAGAGTTGACTTTTTTATATTTTAAAAAAATTAAATATGTAACTTTTTCAAAATTTACTTAAAAGT